ATAATATATATATATATATATATATATATATATATATATATATATATATATATATCAATTGATATTGTAAAATAATTTATTTTTATTCTTTAAATCTGGAGATGTTTGCATTTTGTTGTTTTTCATTCATTTTCGGTTCTGTGAAAATTTATTTTATTATTAACTAATAATTAATAAAAAATATACTCATTATCTTGAAAAAGACTACATATGTTTTAAGCTATTACACCAAATTTGCATGCAGTGTATTAACTATGAACCATGGTGGAACAATAAACCTTCTTTTAGTGTTTTTAAATACAAATTAAAATGTGTAATCAATAATAAAAGTCTTAATATTGTTATCCCATTCAGATAACTGCTTTTAAAAGATCCCTTTTGGGTTTAAGGGTGGTCAAGTATACAAATAAAAATACGCCATGTGTTGAATTCATTTCTTTTGATAGTTTGTTACCCACATTCATTGCAAGTGGTAGACGATTTGCAACAAGAAGCAACCTCCTAATTGCTTTAAAGACAGGTGAAGAAGAGGTTTACCAATTGCATTGATAAGCACCTCCTTAAATCCTCTAGACTGCACAATAAAACAAACAAGTATGCAACATTGAGCTTAATCAGTACCTAGATGGTTGACCGCTTGGGAATACCAGGTGCTGTAAGCTTGGATGTGCAGGTGGTGTAATGGATGATGGCCTGGAATTGTTAATCAGAGAGCTGAGTTCCAATTCCCATTGGGTTTATCATATTCACTTAGGCACAAATACCCTTGAGAAAGAGGTGAATCTACCTCTTCTCCCTCCAGCTATGGGTTAATTAGTAAAACTTTTATCACTGAACCATTATCATCTCCCCCCCCCCAAATTCTTACAGTCTGTTAGGGGAAGCAAATTTCCTTCCCCCTATAAAGTACGACAACTCAAAATACAATTGAGTTACTTCCCTTGTCTTCAAAGATGAATACATCACTTTTGAATTGAACATGGTGACAAGCTGACATGCATGTGGTATTCATGGTTTCAATCCAAACAAATCCTTGCCATTCTCAGACAGTGAATGAAAAAAGTTGTTTTATTATGTGTCTTTTATTCTCATTCATTTTTGTTCATCCCAACAGCCTGGGTATAACACAGTCTAAAAATAGATTTTGGTTTTAAATAATCTGCAAAGGGTTGATTAGCAGTAGAAAATGAATTAATTAATCAAGCTAGTCTGAACAAGATATTTAGCAGGAACTTGTTGTTTATACTCATTGTCATGATAATTCTACATAACCCCTTCTGTAATCACAAAAGAAGAGAAAGCTGTCCTTTGAAGATGATTGTTTAAAAAACACTGTTATGTCCAAAATACAGAGCTGATTTGGTGTACAGAGAGTTTCAAAAGGCTGTATCACGTTACATCACTGTATATCTTAACTACTGAGGATATCAAAACACAATTTATATTTCCTGAAAGCTAATATGTCCACGTTTTTATACAGGCTTTTACATGTGTTCAATGTGAACACTGCAGGTTACATGACACACATCCAAACAAACTTGTTCAACCATATCATCTGAAGTTGAGGGGTGTCCTGTTTTCTTTGCCAGGCACAAATACCTCTCCTTAAATTTTGCATGCCAATTCAAAATGGAACATCTGTCTGGTGCCTGCTCGGTAAACATACAAAATTTGTGCATTCTAGGACGCAAAATGTCTTCTCTTGTTTTGTGAATGATGTAACTTGATCTGAAAAGAGACAAAAAACAGAATTAAATTTAATTTAACAGAAGAAAACTTGACATTTTTAGTTTTTAAGTTGTATCACTTCAATCGTGCTACCATTTGCTACCATATAAAATCTACCAAGAATTTGTGTTCAGGCTCTTATAATATCTCACCATTCTTGGCAGATTTTATATTGTCACAGTGTAGGATAGTCAGGGACAAAGGCGACAGAGAGAAAAAGAAAAAGAATACAGATGAATTTGCCTAGATTGAAAAAAAAATTCTTACAAAATTGAAAAAAGACGTTCTTACAAAACAAAGCCCAGTCCAATGAAATTCTAACGGATGGAACTACTTTTGCATTTAATTAATCTTTTGTTCTTTGTTTCATTGTCCCAAACAAATATATGTAGACGTAAAAACGAGACATTTATAGCGTTTATATACAATTACATTTTACAAACCAGTCCAATTGAAAAATTCTAATTTTGGAAATGGAAAGTTTGCAAAGTAGTCACCTTTGAAAAACTTTTCATTTTTAGTTTAAATCAATGTCATATATATATATTGTTCGTATATATATATATATATAATATATATATATATATATAACCTTTTGAAGAATATATTTTGGCGCAATTCTTGAAAACCAGGAAAGAACTCATTAGGATTATGCTAAATAATCCAAAGTTCTTTAGTATTTTTGTTATTTCCTTCCTGATTTTGTAAAAATAGTAGTTGTTTATGCTTTCTGTTTGTTAAACAAAACTAGAACTTGTAAAAACTTGGTTTGACCCATGCCCTTTATGCCTACATGAAAAACTACACATTATTAAGTTTCTAAATAATAAAAAATCTATTAAACAATAGACATGAGTTAACGGTTTTTTTGCTGACATCATCAAATTTTTTGCATTGAAAATGAATAATTAGCATAAAAACAAACAAACAATAAAATAATTTTTAAAATCTATAAATAGTTTAAATGCCCTACCATAAATGATAACCCTTTATGAAGGCGTCAAAAAACAAGTGTTAGTGATTTACGACAGTTTTATATGCACAAAACCCTTTCAGAATAAATAAAAAAAAAAATAAAAAAATAAATTCCATTAGACGGTCTTTTTTCAACCAGACGATGTGATGTCTTTCCGCTTTAAATTTAGACACCCCAACCCTACCCTGATTCTTGACATCTGTGAATGTAACCGAGATTTATTTGTCAGCCTTTGCATACAAATTTTGAAAAGACTTATTAAATGTGTCAAATGTCTTTTCGCCTTGAGAACGTACTTTTCTGTGGACGGTTGTTCTAGCTGTTTGTGTCACCATAGAAATTTTCATTTTAATAATGAATATTTTTAATTTTGCTTATAAAACACTTTTTTTCTTTCGTAAATTTCATTATAGAAATAACTTATTCCAAAAAATTTCGTTTGAAGATGGAACAGAGCTTAGTAATTTAATTCAATTTAATTTTAATAATTATATTGAAGTTTTCAAATGCTTGTGTTCAACATTGATTTTTGCAATTAAACATGAGAACTCTTATATAACACGTGTTAATCTTTGGAATCATATTTTTAAATAAATTCTTGTGAATTATATATATATATATATATATATATATATATATATATATATATATATATATATATATTTGTCCTAAAATGGTCAGCATATCTTCATTCAAGACATGTTTGGTTGAATAATCCCAGTCTGAGACATTAATTTCTTAATTTTCATTGATGAAGCATTGAACTCAGTTAATGTGCCTTCCTTAATGAGTTTAATGGCTCACCGTAGCCATTAGCTATAAATATTCGGCCAGTCCAATTAATCCATGAATTTGTATTGGAATTTGTGTTTGGGAAAAATGGATTAAAATAAAAAACATAAATTATGAAGTCATATGTCTAGATTTTTCAAATAAATTAAATATTTTAATGTATATATATATATATAACACTATATATATATATATATATATATATATATATTTATGTTTTCCCTGACATTTTTCTTTATACGCACATGGTTGTTCGCACTTGTTGGCTTGGCGCATGTTTATACATTCTTTTTATAGATACAAATATTTAAGTAAATGCTCTGTTTATAATAAATTTGCAGTATTAAACAACATTTTTAATTGGCCAGCCTGAATGTCCGATGTCTAAAGAATTGCACAACCTTTTAGCTTGATCAGCCACATTTGAAAATATTGGTCGATTGTCATTTTCTCCGACAGTGAAGGTTTGGCATTTGAACCTGTATCCTATATGGAACCGTTTTATTTAGTTTGACGTCAGCTACTTCGCCTTTTTCTGCCGGTATACATATATAATTAATTAATTAATATGAAAAGGTTTTTTCACTCAACTGAGTAGTATTTCTGTCATGCTGATTTTGAAGTTTTTATCGTTGTCAAACGCCGAGGTTAGTCCAACTCTGCTCCAAAGCATGTTCACCACAAGGTGTTGGGACTTTATGGGATCTCAAAACTTCCTTGTCCCAAACAAATAAGAATGATAGAAATACTGAAATAATTTTTCATACTAATTCTATTTGTAATATTCTATCTCTGATATTGAGCTCTCTACCACAAAGCCTGCTTGCCTTAAATGCCTTTCTATCAGAAAACCACTGAAAAATCAGAAATTTTGGCTTCAAAAACAGTTTCTCAAACTAATAACCTTTTGGGTTTTGCGACTGATATTTTTCGCTTTGGGAGGTCTTTTCCCAATTTAAAATATAATGTTTGTTTTATTTTTGGGAGTTATTGCAATTACAATTACTGTATCAGGTGATGAGATTTTTCAAAATGGATTTCTGATATTTAATATATATATATAAGTGAAGAATCCTGAGATATATTTTTTTTTAGTTTTTTTTTTTTTTTTTAAGGAAAACAAAAACATCGGTGAAGTGAAAAAAAACTACACATAAATTTCTAAATAATAAAATCTATAAATGGGACATAAATAAAACAAAAAACAATGTTATTTTTAACCCTTTATGAAGGCGTCAAAAAACAAGTGTTAGTATTGAAAATCTCATTTAAAAAAAAAAATCTCCATAGACGCTTTAAAATAGAGCGACACTATATAATCTGTAATGTAAGAAAATACAAATTTTGAAATATATGTTAATTTATAATCTGTAAACGAATTTATTTCAAAAGATCTGCTGAAGTTTGCATGGGAAAAATCCATGAAACTCTGCATCCATATTCCCCAAAATTCTGGCAGAAATACAGGCATTATTTAACATCTATTTTCTTTTTTTCTTTTCAGAATGCACTTTTATTATTCTTGATAAAAATCTGTATATCACCAGTGATCATAATGAAATCGGTTTGTATGATTTGCTATACTTTATACTGATTGTGTCTTAAATTGGCTCTTATTTTTTTCAAAAATATATTGTTTGATATTAATAAATTATTTACATTATTAATTCTATTAATATTCTATCTCTGATTGTTCTCATCTTCATTGTCCCATCACCAAAAATCAGAAATTTTGGCTTCAAAAACAGTTTCTCAAAACCCATTGTATTCTCTGGCCTTCTTCAGGTGATATTGAAATTTTGAACTGGACCCTTTTTTTTTATAATCCATTTATTTCAAACTTCAGCAGATCTTTTCCTTCCAAAATTCTGGCAGTGTAGATTGTTTTCTTTTTTTTTTTCAGTTCCATTATGCCATGCCTCTTCTCAGTTATTTTTTTTCAAAAATCAACTCTCCAAGATTTTGGTTCACCACCAACTGCTGTAGCCTGGTGATTGAACTCACAACTCTTTTTCCTTTCCACCAGGTCTTGTTCTAGTCACTGGATCCTAACCAGTGTTTTTAACTCCCATTTTGGACCATGTGTTCTTGAGGACATCTGTGTATGAATTTCTGGGATTTATAAACCTAATGTCTCAACAACTGTTTTCTACCTGTGCTCATATTGCAGTTTTTCCGTTATTATTATTGCATATTTTTTACCAGAGCTTATATTGCAATTTTTATGTTGTTTTCTCTAACACTCCATTACTGGTTCCCATATTGTATTCATTTCTATGCTTGATCAGCTCAGGAGAGTTTTGTGGCCTAGCATATACAGTGGGAGGAAATAAATATTTGTACACATGAAAAATTGTATTTTTATAAATGTAAAAGCCTTAACTAAAACAAATTTTGATACATTTTATGTGTAAAGATACATTTTATTAAAAAATAGTAATAAACTTAATTAATTCTTATTCTAACAGAAATTAATGCATTTTTTTCATTTTAACTGATGGCAAAAAGTATTTGTACAAAACAAAAAAAGCATATTAACTTAATTTAATACTTTGTGGAATATCCTTTATTGAGTTCAACAGCTACCAGTCTATTCCTGTATGTATCAACTAATGATTTGCACATATTGAGTGGTATTTTGTCCCATTCTTCTTGGCATATTGTCTTCAAATTCTTGATATTTGTTGGTGCTCTTTTCCCAATTTGAAATTTCAAATATCGCCATAAATTCTCAATTGGGTTCAAGTCTGGGGACTGACTTGGCCATTGCAAGCCATCAACGTTACTTTCAGCTAACCATTTCCTTGTAGATCTAGCGGTATGCTTAGGAAATTCGTTAGAGAGCATAAGGATAAAGAATATTCGTTTTGGGAAAAAGTACTATGGACAGATGAAACTAAAATAGAGTTGTTTGGTCATCCAGTTGGAAAACCCAATCAGGAGGTAGCCGGTCTCTCAACAGAACACATTAAATTGTTATGCAGGATTTTCTGGTAGCTTTCGGCATTCATCTTGCCATCTGTTATTGATATTCTGCCAACACCTTTTGCAGAAAAACAGCCCCAGATCATGATACTGCCACCACCAAACTTTACAGTTGGCAATGTGTTCTTTGGTAAGTAGGCTTCACCGTCCTTCCCCCACACATGATTTTGATAATTATGACCAAACAACTCTATTTTAGTTTCATCTGTCCATAGTACTTTTTCCCCAAAACGAATATTCTTTATCCTTATGCTCTCTAACGAATTTTAGCCTAGCATCTCTGTGTCGTTTCAAGAGGAGGAGTCTTCCTTGGGATGCGTGATTTCAGACTGTTTTTTTTGTAGTTCATTACTTATTGTACGCTTTGGTTACTTTAATCCCTAATGCAGGCAGATGTTCCTGCAGCTCTTCTCAGGTAACATGTGGATTTTGTTGGATCTGGCGTGCTAATATCCTTGCTGATCTTAGAGAAATCTTCCTCGGAACACCTGTTCATCTTTGGTTTTTGATGCTGTTACAAGTTTTAAACCTTGCAATGAACGAAGCAATTGTAGTAAAAGGAATATTCAAGTTGTTAGAAATTGTTCTGTAACTGTTCCCATCTTTCCAAAGAGACAAAATGTGTTGTTTTTGTGAAATAGTCAATTCTTTATCTTTAGGCATTATTAGAACCTTTTCGTAAGACTAGAAATTGCAGAATGCTCTGACTAATGGCTAATAGCGTTAACTATAATTACTGATAACATTACTGAAACATTCTAGAATATACTTTTTTCATAATTAATTGATTATTTTATTCTAATAATTGATTTGTACAAATACTTTTTTCACCAGTTAGAATTTTAAAAAATGCATTAATTTCTCTTAGAATAAGAATTAATTAAGTTTATTATTTTTTAATAGTATGAATCTTTATACATAAAATGTGCCGAGATTTGTTTTATTTAAGGCTTTTACATTTATAAAAATACAATTTTTCAAGTGTACGAATATTTATTCCCCCCACACACACACACTGTATGCTGATTTCTTAAGTTTTCATATTTTCCAGTGATGTTCTCTGTTTATTATTTCAACCTCATCCCACTAGGGGTGGTGATCTCCTTTCTCCCTCCATATGTGGTCAGCTATACCTGATTTTTCATGGCATGTTGAACTAGAACAATATACCCTGGCGGACGAAATAAAGGGGTTTGGTTCAAAATTCTTATCACCTGAAGAAGGCCGGAGCGTACAATGTGAATATGGCAATGAAGATGAGGATAACAGTCTGAATAATGTAAATAATCATAATACCCCATCTTGGAGATATTGACAGATATTAATAAATTATTTTTTAATTTTATATAAATTTGGCACTTGAAGTGAAGATAGTACAACAGCTCTCCACTACAAAACATGCATTTTTAACCAGGTCATTAGATAAGTGGCAAAATGGCTAAAATAGTTTCCGTATACCAGTAATTCTCAAATACCATGCCACGGCAATATTGTCATGACATACATACATACATACATACATACATATATATATATGTGTGTGTGTGTGTGTGTGTGTGTGTGTGGAATTAGTAATGGTAAAGTGCTAATATTTGAATAAATGAATAAGTATTAAACTTTGATTTCAAAAAATTCTTTTCACTATTCTTTAATTATGCTATTTTAAATGCTTCAATTACTTCTTCCTTATTGGACAATGTTTTATTGCATATAAAAAGCTCAAAATGCTTAAATAAGTGATAATCAGTAGGAGAGATATCAGGTGAATATGGAAGATGAGGTAAAATTTCATAATTCAGTCTATGCAGCTTTTGGACAATTGATTGAGAAGTGTGTGGTCATGCGTTGTCATGCAATTGGGTGTTTCTTTTTCAATTTTTTGTGCATACATTCAATTTCTCCACAATACGAGATTGCTGTTATTGTTTTCTCTTGAGGCAAGAATGAATAAGGAATAACCCCTTTGAAAGACTACCATACAGTAACCATTAACTTTTTAGGGTGCAGTGGAAGTTTCGGGTATTGTTTTGGTGATTTACTTACATATAACCAATTGCTTACTCTATTACTGTTGTCAAAGAATATCACATATAATGATTCAATGCAAAAATAGTCCTTTTTCCCAGTTTGAACTCATACAGTAAGATTACTCAACATTGTTTCATTGTAATCATTTTTATTGAGCTTATGAGTAACAGTATATTGAAAAATTATCTGGAAAGAAAAAGAGTTAGGAATAAGTCAAGATTTTTTTATATACTAAGGAGGTGACTTAGTTAGACGACCAAATCAACCAACCAACCAATCAAAAGATGTGTCATTTCATGTGCAAAAATCTAATATAAGACAAATTATCTTACATAGAAAATTTAAAGCATATAAAAAGGCAAGCAGTATATGAAGGGGACAAGTAAAAGGGTATTTTTACTTTTAACCCCCTCAAGAAGGACATGATACAGCTCTGTGATATCTCTTTGTTCCCTCTTTAGAATGCATCCTGGGTATAACATAAAACTACATCTGGTAGCAAGGCTTCTGATCAGGAGGTTTTGAGGAGCATGGAACATCTCTTGATTGCTGTTGTTCCCAGGTCCACCCTGACCTGGCATGGTAGTACTTGTTGGGGTCTCAGCTATGGGCAAATAGTTAACCCCCAAACTGGGGTCAAACATGATGAAAGTATAAAAATAGATTTTATAGTAAAAAGGCCAGCAATACATTTTTGAAAAAAAATATTACCAGCAATATATTTAACCTCCAACCAAAACCTGCTTCACAAAAATCTGTCAATGAAACCTGATCTACAAACTGATTTCTTACAAAGAATACATATTCTCTTCATATGAACCTATCCTAACAATCTTGTCAACATTAAATAATCCATTGAGATTGATATGCCGTAAAACAAAATAAACCAATCCTGATCTACAAACTGATTTCTTACAAAGAATACATATTCTATTCATATGAACCTATCCTAACAATCTTGTCAACATTAAATAATCCATTGAGATTGATATGCCATAAAACAAAATAAACCAATCCTGATCTACAAACTGATTTCTTACAAAGAATACATATTCTATTCATATGAACCTATCCTAACAATCTTGTCAACATTAAATAATCCATTGAGATTGATATGCCATAAAACAAAATAAACCAATCCTGATCTACAAACTGATTTCTTACAAAAGAATACATATTCTATTCATATGAACCTATCCTAACAATCTTGTCAACATTAGATAATCCATTGAGATTGATATGCTGTAAAACAAAATAAACCAATCCTGATCTACAAACTGATTTCTTACAAAGAATACATATTCTATTTATATAAACCTATCCTAAAAATTTTGTTGACATTAAATGACCTATTGAGGTGTTGATATGCCGTAAAACAAAATAAACCTTTTTAGAACACATCTTGTGTCTTCATCCATGGGAACCCAACCCGTAGATGCTGATCTCAATTTGAAATGTAAAGAAGAAAGCAAGGCCTATATTTTTGGTCATACTTATTTTATTTTCAATTTTTTTTTCATTCTAGATTCAATGATTGGCGATGTAAATCTCTTTTTAAATGGTGACAATGAATATACAGCTGAAATAGAAATTATGATTGCAGGTAAGTTTCTTCTAAAATTCACCTTTTAATATGTTGTCCAGATAGAAATTACAGACACTAATGTTCATATTTTTTTTTCTCTAAACACTATGAATTAAAATCAGACAATGAAGAATTTTTTAAGAATTGTGGTTTTAGGAGGCTTATTGGCTGATCTGCCTAAGATTTGAACTAAATGTTGCACTAAAAGTCATGGCAACTATAAGACAGTGCTTGAAAAGATGACTAGAACAGAAAATGCCATGAAAATCAGGACTGATGGATAGGTTCTGTGATTATAGAAAAAAAGAAAGTCCAGGCAAAGGTCCTGCAGAAATGATTATCCACTGACAGTTGGGGATAATGAAGGAGTTAACAATCAAATTTGGATTGAATTTATGTGCCTTCAGAAAGAAACAAAACCGAAATAGCTTGTGGTTTTAGGGGGCAAAACAAATTTAATTCTCTTCCTTTCTCACATGCTTCTTGCTTTGCTTTGTTATTCCTCTTTTACTGTGCTTCGTCTGTTTGTTCATCAGTCCAGTTGCTTGATACATGATCAAACTCTCCCCACCAACTGATTTCTCATATAGCCACTTTTCATCCCACAATTCCCTGTTTTTTTCACCATCCATTATAATTATGGGTAAGGTAGATAGCATCCATTGTGACACAATTCTTTTACAAAAATGATATTGTCTTTGCAAAGAAATAACAAAATTCAAGCCTTAAGCTAAAATAAGCTCTTTCACTTTTAGTGAACCCTTTCCTTTGCTTGGGGTGAAATGATTAAAAAACATATTTGCCAACTGTTATATTCCGTGCTAATAGGAATATATACTTGAAAAACAAGGTGGATAAAATAAGTAAAGTTTTATTATAAAAAACCAGTACAATAAGAAGAAAGGTAACAGTTATGCACAAGGTCGTCGCAAGTCAATCCAGTAGTGAGTGCTACTATTAAAAGCTCGATAGTTCTCGTGTAAGTCTGAGTTGTACTCAACAGATCCCAGTTAGTCTCTGTAGTCCATTGACTTACAGATACTTATAGACAGTTACTACCTATAGTGTAGTCACTCATGAGGGTGGCAGATTATTCCATTACATCACCAGCCTAGGTGGACCCTGGAGAAACCAAATTGGTAAACCCTAGCTTAATTGTAGATTCAAATCTTGCCATGTGCCAATTATTTAACTTCTCAATTTGGGATTTAACCCCATTTCACTGTTTTTATCACTGTGTTGCAAGCAGAATATATTTTATAATAAATTGATTTATAAACTTTTATTTTATTTACATTATTATTACATTCGAACTGTTTTGCTCATCTTTGTTGCCGTTATCACAACATTTCGGCTGTTGTGCACTCTGGCCTTCATCAGGTATATATCCATCCGGATAACCTACAGGGAATTCTGAACTGAACTTTTTATTTAATTTATGGTGGTAGATTGTTCTCATTCCGCTGCTCATGTCCAGGGATATCTCATCTAGTTCTTATGTTTAGTAATGCTCAGTTATTGCTCACTCTGTTTCCAATGAGTCCAAGTACGCACTGCCCAGTCCAAGAATCAATCTCTCAATTACTATATCATCAAATTCACAAATCAGTTTTAATCCAATAGGCTATTGTCCCATAGCAAAATTGTGAGTTCAATCCCTGAACTGGGCAGTGTGTACTTGAACTGAGTGCAAAGCCTATTCTGGCGTGATTAAGGGTGAGACATTTACCATAACAAGAATATTGGACATAACCCTTTATTTGATCTATGATGATATATTATTCTCACTGATGTCTATCCTATAAAATTTTTGTATTTATAACATTCAAGATAATGTTAAATAAATCCAAAATAGAAAGGTAGGTTGAATTTAAATAGCCTGTCACACCCATCAGTTCCAGACTTGAGAGTTTCATCTTTAAAAAGAGCCCTTAAGTTTTCTAATTAGTAAATTCATTTAATGTTCATGTTGTCACCACAATGTTTCTGCCAATTCATTCTACAGCCTTCATCAGGTGCACAAAGATGCCTTCTGTAATTCTAAGGAGAGTCATTAACATTCCAAGATTTCTTCAGACAAATAAACTCCTTCCTGCTGTTGCTGTTGTTACCATAATATTTCAGCCAATTCATTCTACAGACTTCATCAGATGCACAAAGATGCCTTCTGTAATTCTGAAGAAAGTTATTAACATTCCAAGATTTCTTCAGACAAATGTAATCCTTGTTTGTGTTGTTCATGCTGTTATCATAATGTTTCAGCCAATTCATTCTACAGCCTTCATCAGGTGCACAAATATGTCTTCTGTAATTCTGAGGAAAGTTATTAACATTCCAAGATTTCTTCAGACAAATGTAATCCTTGTTTGTGTTGTTCATGCTGTTATCATAATGTTTCAGCCAATTCATTCTACAGCCTTCATCAGGTCCACAAAGATGCCTTCTGTAATTCTGAGAAGTGTTATTAACATTCCGTGATTTGTTCTGACAAATGAATTCCTTGTTTGTGTTGTTGATATTGTTACAGAATGTTTTAGCCAATCGATTCTACTGCCTTCTCCAGGTATACAAATCCTGAACTGAAAAAGATCATCTTAGTAAGGCAGATTATATTGGAGAAGAAAAACAATTCAGAATATGCTAGTTTTGTTTTTATATGTTTTTATATTTTAAAACTTTTTTTTGCAGAAGCTGATGCCCGAGGAAAAGGTTTTGGAAAAGAATCAGTTCTTATGATGTTGAGATTTGGTAAATAAAAAAATATTTTAATTCAAATTTTCTCCTCATTAAAATGAATCCATATAAAAAACTTTGAAAATATGCTTAACGATATTTAATATAATTGAAATTAAAACAGGCAGAGTGTTTAAAATAATGCTTAGATGAATTCTGACCACTTATAATTTTGTACATTAAGATGGAAAGGAATATATGATGGAAATGAAAGTCCCAATCTGTTTACTCTCTTCCTAGAACAGTTTTTCTCAACCATTTTTTTTATTTCAGGGCACCCTTGTAGAATAGGTAAAACTATGGGGTACACTTTAAATTTTAATAAGGAAAAAAATTATTCATAAAATTTGAAAATATTAAATTTTGGTCTATCATTCCCCAAAGAAGTTTAGCGATAAAATTTTCATTTAAAGGGATTTATGAGGAATCTGCTATATTTTTTAGAGAGGCAAATAATGACTGATTTAAATCCCTTGAGGAAGGCAAATGGAATAGGATTATCCTCTCCTTCTTAAAGGTTAAGGAATTTAGCATCCATTTTAAAATATCAAATGACAAAGACTTAATTTAAACATGGAAGCCATATGCTTGATGTCTCAAGCTTTTTAAAAAATGAAGATTTTTTTAAATATAAAAATAATTTGTAAATTACTTTTCTGTTAACTTGAGCACACCTGGCTACCTTTCAGTGTACATTAGCACCCTTGGGAACATTGGTTGAGAAACCCAGTCATAGGCTATACTTTTTTCATACCATTATAGATTAATCTCTCCATTTCATGAATATCAAAATAAATTGTTTAAATATCTGCACTTTAAAAGTACATGTAAATAAGTTGTTGTTTGAACTCATCATAAAATCAAGAAACTCAGAAGTAAATATCTTCTTCAAAATCATGGCTCTCCAAACTTCCTATCCTTCATAACTTTTAGCAGTGTGTGGAGAAATTGGCCATGGTCAAGTGTAATTGGCAAAAACACACAACAAACGGAATAGACAAAGTTACCAATAAGCCAAAAAAAAAAAAAGGAAGAAAAAACAACAGAGTGAAATAATATGAAGCAAACAATGTATATGCAAGTCAAAACTAGGCAAGGCAACAGAAATAAGGTAAAAAGTTCACAAAGTAAGAATGGTATTCAAATGCAAAAGGGATACAGTCAAGTGATTGTAGTGTTTTGACTTCAAGACAAGAAAGAACAAATATATGCAAGAAGTCCTCCATTTTTACTGGTTAGGAAGAATGTTGTCCTTCTCCCAGCAGGAGAAGGACAACACTTAATTCAAAATTCAGACAGTTTCTTCTCAAGAACTGCTACTTTGTGAAACAGGTTCCTGAGAGGATGCTTTCCTAAGCACTACAATCTTAACCTCTTCAAGTCTGGGACAAGTGTTATCTATCCTACCTATCCTTATAATCTACACTTCTTACATCCATATAGTCAACTTGTTCAGTAACCCTCTACCTCGACTGGCCTTGTATTGGAAGAAGAAAAAAAAGCCGAATAGAAGACAACAGGAAACAATATAAATGTCCTTGCCAAGAAGTCTTGACAATTCATAGACATTTAAAAACAAAAAAAAAATGGAATCTCTGGAATGCCATGGTTGCCTATATTATGGAAGGAAATGATATTTAAAACAAAAAAAATATTGGTATCAATGCACAAACTAAATAGTTTTCATTTTAGTAATGTTTATTATTGACCACTATCATCAGCACAGTGGAGTAATGGATAGCAGCTAGGATTGAGGAATTTGAAAGTTTGAATTCAAGTCGAATCCATTGCATTCACTTATGTGCTAATACCCCTGGGAAAGGTATGAATCCTCTTCTTCTCCCCCCAGCTATGGGTAAACAGCAGGACTGGGTTCTATAGCCTTGGATAACAACTGGTCAACAGCAGAAAGAAATGGCAACTTACTGTGGGAAAAAAATCTGCCTCGTCAGTCATGTATCAAAAGATATATTATTGCCTAAGCATGTATCATGCATGGCACATAACTGACTGATTATCTTTGAATCTCACTATTGTAAAATTCCTCTGTAAAAGTTTGTTATCATTTATTTTTAACTATAAGATAAAAACTATCTGTTTATATTTCTGAGATGAAGTTTTATAATTATGTACATTGTTCGGACTGTTGTCCTCATCTTTATTGTCATATTCACAAAATTTCAGCTGTTGTACACTCTGGCCTTCTTCAGGTGATTGGAATTTTGAACTGAAACCTTTATTTCATCCACTGGGGTAGATTGTTGTAGTTCCATGTGCCATGCCTTTTATACACTGGGCCCAGTGGATAAAAGTGTGGGTTGGATCCAGTGAATTGACCCAAAGAGTTGTAAGTTCGGTACCTGGCTATTGCAGTGATGAACAAAGACTAGGAGAGTTGAGTTAAAGGGAGATAACTGAGACATCCGACAGAGGCATGGTACGTGGAACTAAAACAATCTAGCCTGGTGGATGAAATAAAGGGTTCAGTTCAAAATTCCAATCACCTGAAGAAGACCAGAGTGTACAATGCTGAAATGTTGTGAATATGACAATAAAGATGAGTACAACAGTTTGAACAATATAAATAATGTAAATAAGATAAAAACTGTCACATATGGATGAGACAAATGTCAAAGTAAAAGATGCATATAATGAGTTTATTCTAAATTTTTTTTCTTTTAGGGATAGAAAATCTTCTACTCAAAGAATTCACTGCAAAAATTGGAATTTCAAATAGCAGCAGTTTGGGATTATTCAGTAAACTTGGTTTTGAAGAGGTAAATCAGTTATATATATATATATAGAATGTGTGTGTGTGTTTGTTTAAGGTAAAGTTCTGGGTGTTTATATATTATAATCTGATTGCGTTTGTTTTACGCGTGAGTTTAGGACCCCATTCACACACTCTTAGGATTAAAATGTATACATTGTCAAAGGACCGGATATAAAATTAGCTAAAGTAACTTAAATGAAGAAATAAATTGAATAACATATATATTTCTTCTTTTCTCCTCAGTAATTTTATAGTTGTAAACTTAATAGCGATTAAATTTTGATTTTGAAATTAGCAGTTTTTAATTTTAATATTAAATTTTATCATATAATTTAGTAATTATTGGTTAGAATAAATTCTTTTTTAATACTACCCATATTTTAAACATCTGAATAGCTATTATAACATGACTTCGTTGTCAAGCTTTTTGAATTTTCCTATACTTGTATTTTGATTGGTCCATCTAGCTTTTGTAACAACAGTTTCCCCTTGTGAAGGATTGTTAATTAATTCGAAACTTTTAAAACCATTTATTTTACATTCAACATCATCACTTGATAAGACACCGAGGGTGTTGAAACAAAATGGCTATTTTTGTAGTGATTTTATAACATATTTATGTTATAAATTTTTTTAAAATAAATAATTATATCTGCTCTACTTTGTATTGAGCACTCTTTTAAGAATAGTATTTGTTGGTTATTGGAATTCATTCCATATATACAAATTATATACTTGTATATATATATATATATATATATATATATATATATATATATATATATTATTATTTTCAGATAGAGTGCATCTGTAAGGGAACAAAATGAATAAAAAGCAATAGAAAAATCTCTTCTTAGCTGATGTGTTTCGTCTTTTGAGAAACTTTATCAAGGCAAATGTATGGCTTTATATTGTTGCATGTGTTTATATACAAGAGCAAGGATGTTGCTGATTTATCAAGGCTTATAAAAAATCAAAAGAAAATGGTTAAATCCATTACCACATGTTTTTAAAAATGTACAGCATATATGCCCATCCCAAACCATAACATCCTATCGCGATTTAACAATATTCATATATTAAAAGAAAATTTCTTGAATGTTGCTTGCTTACTTTTGTCTTACCATACTTTGAATTATGGAATTTTGTGTCCTCTGCATGTTCCGATTGAACTTTCAGCCACCTGATGAAAATTCATGAATGTTCTTAAAAGCAATGATATATGTCAAAGTGGAAAAAGTTTTTGTGTGACATATTTCATCCTCTAAGACTTAATTGGACCAATGATAGATCCAATGAAGTCTTAGAGGATGAAAACTTTTCCCACTTTGTCATACTTCTTTCCCTTAAAATTGTTCTTGATATATAAAAAAAGTTTTATATCATTGTCGCATATACAGTCTGCCTAAAAAATGTTTACACACTTCAGCAGAGGAAAATCTTGCTTTCATATTTTTATCAAATTGCGATAACACTGTTTACAGCAGTAATTTCTCAACAGATGGCATTACCCTCATGGCTGTAGCATCAACGTGTCCTAAAGGATTTTGTGTATCACAGAAAACTGACTACATTGGTGGCCCTTAGACAAGAAATTGAAAATGCATCAATCCCACTTGACACGTTGGCCAATGTTGCAATAGTTCACCATGCTAATAAATGTCTGGAAGCTAAAGGCCACCATTTTGAGCATCTTTTGTGATTGTAAAGTCCAAAGATAACTTGTATTAATCTGGTGATGTCTGAATAAATTTATTGTTACAATATCTATATAAGTTTTTCCTTCCTGAAGTGTGTATACATTTTTGGCAGAGATATCTATCTATATATCTATCTATCTATCTATATATCTATCTATCTATCTATATATCTATCTATCTATCTATCTGTGTGTGTGTGTGTGTGTGTGTGTGTGTGTGTATGTGTGTGTTGTAACCTAGGGAAGGTTACTGGATATAATAATCAAATGAAGGTTGGTAATGAAAGATAATACTTAGGACAAGAACAACACATATAAGATTTGCCAGCAGCACGTAGAAGTAGTAGTCAATTGCTAGAAGTGAGTCAAATGAATTCCACAATGAATCTCCAACTCTAGACCATGTACAGTATTCACTACTGTATTTATGGGAATGGGGGCATACCTATTATCATCCGTAGTTATGCTACAACAATATATATAGTGGGGGAAATTGTATAACAGAGTGTAAAAAGGTTTACTTGTGATGTGTTTCATCCTTCAGGATTTCATTAGAGTAAATTTTATCATGTCCTGAAGGACAAAACACGTCACAAGTAAACTTTTACAATTTCCCTAATACTATTCTTGATATATAAAAATATATATCATTATCTCATTCATATATATATATATATATATATATATATATATATATATATATATATCAAAGGAAAATCTTAACGCAACATTGAAAACTTGATTATAAATTATAACTTATTTTGACAAGTAAGTTTTTAATACTTGTCTTATCAGACTGAAATTACAAATTGTTTAATTTTACAAAATGGTTTAAATTTATCCAGACAATATTTTTAAAAAACAGATAACAGGAAGTCTAGACACCTGATGTAGAAAATCCATTTTCTGGTGATTTATATTATTGAAGGCATGGGTGGGAGAGGAGAGGTAGCTGTCAATGCCATATTCATGTGTGGTGTCTGGGAGAATATGAGTAACAGCTAGAGAAGTACATTAGAATAAATACACACACACACACACATAAAGAGGGAGAAGATAAAATAATTGAAAACAAAATAACTGCTTGAAAATAATTGCAATAAAATAATTGAATATATATATATATGTGTCCAAAACGAGACGATATTTGCACACATGCAAATTTTGGTCGTATCAAACGGGCATAAAAAGCAACATGCCAGCAGCATAGCGAGAGGGTTCATGTCATTTGGTGGACTTCGTGCAATAGACTTGGATGTACAAATTGACTGATGGACAAAGAAGAAGTCAAAGTTTGCACGGCTGAGTTGGTGTCTGTTTCATGACTGCCCGGTGTAACGGCCGAGAAAGGGAGTCTCGCAATCCATTTCCTTGAGGCAACCAACGACGAAGGTAGAATAGCTGGTCCGCCAGCAAACGGCGCACTGCACTTTCTGATCCCCCCTCTCGTCACTTTCTTCTTTTTGTTTACTACAGGAATACAGCAAAGTATTTTGCTTTTTGAAAATATTAAATTTAATCTATTAGTTTGAAATTACAACTAAAATAAAAACTTCAAGAAAGAGTTTTTCATTTTTAAACATTTATTTTAAAACTTAGGGATCACAAATATGTGGACATACCTATATATATATATATATATTGTCATCCACAGACAGACTGTTTTGCTGTATCACAGCTCATCAGTATGGCTAGACATCCGGTTGCCTCTAGCTAGGATCGAAACCCGATTGAATTGGCGTCAGTCGGGGATTCTACCACTAAGTCGTTGGCGCACGGCAGGGATGAAGGTGAATTTTAAGTGTATTTCTTTTTAGATAAACACCCAGTGACTGAGAGAACTCAATTTGATTTACCGAAGAGTCTTGCATTATTAGCCATAATAGTCTCTGTTTACAAACTCAAATTTCCTCCCCAGAGAGCTCAACCAAAATAAATTTTTCAGGAGCATATATATTGTATATATAAAATGACAGATGAGATATCCAGAAAAGTCTGTAAGATGGACTTTTTAAAAACCACTTGGATGCTTACATATTTTTATTCAGTTGTCAACATTTCAGTCTGCAAGAGCATCATCAGAACAACTGAAAAAAAATCTAAGAAATGACAGACTTTTGGGTAGATTCTGCTAGGAGGAATGCATTTCTGACAGCCTTTTCTAAGATGACTCACCTTCTCTCAATCTCTGAATAAGAAAGCTAGTAGATGTTAAAAAAGCTGTCTTTATTCACAAGTCCAGCACATCATCTTACAAGAGCCCTGGCTTGCTACACATCAGGAATGGATCACTTCCTAGTGGTGTCTACCTGAAGACTGTCCTCTCTATCAAGATAAATCTCCATTGATTGGCTTTTGAGAGTCACATGACCAGCCAATCACATTGCATACTAATTAGGGAAGAGAAAAGAAAGTTAACCCAACACCGGCTTTAATGGATATCATTTCTTTTATTTCTTAATTTTCTGGATGTAGTTTTCCATTGTTAGTGAGTTCTGGGTATGATGATAAACTACATTCAGCAGCAAGGCCCCTGATCATGAGATTATAGGTCTTAAGGTGCATGGGACAACCACTTAATTGCTGTTATTCCCAGGTCTACACTGACCTGAGTGGTAGCACCTGTTAGGCTCCCAAATATGGGCAAATAGTGAACCCCCAAAGAAAACATTATGAAAATATAAAAATACATATTTATAGTAAAAATACCAGCAATACATTTTTATATAGAAAAATTACCAACAATACATTCTACAGCACAATTACAAGCAATACATTTTATATGTAGTTGAAAGCATATAATTGAGTTCAAAATGTATTTAGTTGAAGTCCTAAAATTGTGTTCAAAATATTTTGATTTCAGCATTAAATAACCCCTAGAGGTTGATATGCCACTAAACAAAATCAACCAAACAAGCAATATGAAAGAACATTCATGACATTAATCCATTTAATATCCTGCAATTTCTGAAAGAAATCAAACTATATTCCAAAATATAACTTCAACAAAACTACAGCATAAAACATACATATGACTACCTCTAGTAATTATATCCACACAAACATGTATATTCATAAAAGCTGAGTATCATCTACCATGTAATCAATTGTGAAAGCAGAATAACATATATCATATTTTTATTACTTCAAATCTCCCAGGAAAATTAAATTTCAGCATTAAATGACCCATAAGGAATTGATGTACCATTAAACAAATCAATCAATCCATTGTTAGTTTTTTAAAAAATATTTTTAACTCATAATTTTTCTAGTTAAATTATGTTTCGTTTTTAAGTCAAAACAAATCAAAAAATGTCTTTTAGACCATCCTGCATTTTAACAAAGATTTCTTCAGTATCAGAGAAATTCTTAATACAAGATTAAATTTATGCCCAATGGTAAACATAATTGAAATGTTTTGAAATAAGGCGAACTTCGACCTTCATGCCCACAAAAAACCCCTCAAAAAACGAAGTGTCAAAGGACAGTTTTTCCCTTGACACTACAGCAATGTTTATTGTTTTAAAAAGCAATGATTAGAATTTTAATAAAATCTAAACAATATGATGAAAGCGAAGTTATATCTTTTTTTGTTCTTGAGAATTTACAATAAAAATATTAAAGGCTATTTATTTATTAGATTGTTTATTTACAAGAATAATTTTATATTTACAACATTCTAAAACCTAATATAATTAAAACTAATGCAATGCCATATTCGCCATTTAGCAATTTATAAAGAAATAAATATGAAAATAATTTTTATTCATCAATTTATAAAAATATAATAAAGGAAATCTTTATTATTTACTATTTTTTCCCTGGTGTCCCGACTACATGAATTTAAATGTGCTACTAGATTGGCAGCTAGGTCCCACCCATTTACTGTTGAAATAGCTAAATGCAACCACCATTTCTACTCTGACAGTTTCTTTTCTGCCTGTAGAACTCCCTTTCATTTACTTGCTTCCCTGATAATTAAAATCTTCAAAAATTTATATGCTATGTCAATCACCATCTTCTCCCTTCTTGAATCCTGTTTGTCTTTTGTTCTTTCCTCAATCTTCCATATACTCAGTCTCTTCTCTCACTTTCACTCCCTGTAAACCCTTTTATACTAGTGCCATTTCTGCCTTACTTGGGGGTGATATGATTAAAAATATATATATATATATATATATATATATATAAAGTTCAAATTGATTGGCAATTAGCCAATATTTTACCAACCATTCCAACAGACAATCTAATAAATGAATAGTGTTTATTATTTTTGGTGCCAATTCTCAGAAACAAAGAAAATGTATAAATTCACTTTCATATGTTTAGTTTTTATTACAATTCTAATCATTGCTTTTTGGAACAAACATTGCTGAAGAGTGAAGCTAGTTAAAATAATAGTGGTGTCAATGGAAAACTGTCCTTTTCACACCAGAGTGGTAGCACCTGTTAGGGTCCCAACTATGGACAAATATTTACACCCCACCACCAAACTGGGGACAAAACACTATGAAAATATAAAAATAGATTTTCATAGTAAAAATACCTGCAGTACATTTTGTGAAAACAAAACAAATTACCAGCAATACATTTTTGTAAAAGAAATTATTAATGCTCCCAATAAAATTAAATTTCAGCATTAAATGACCCATAAATTGTTGATATGCCACTAAACAAACCCATCCTTTTGACAAACTGTTTTTTGCAGGCACAAAGGTCCTTGTTTGCCAGAAAGAATTAATAAAATGAACTGATTTTATTTCTACAGACATCAGAAGAAATTGTGTCTGCTGTAAAGGCTTCAGTTTGGTGAAGAGTCCTTGTATGAGAATTAGCATCTATAGGCAAAAAGGTCAATGCAATAACAAAATGTCTTTCATGAAAGGGAATATACTTTACAGATATTCATTCATGTGAAATTATTGTGAAAAGCTTTTTGCCTTTGTTGTCTGTCATTCTAAGCATCAAATGTCATCTTGGAGGTCCAATATTTTGCTATTGACTTGGCATCAATGGCTACAAGAAAAGAAGAGGAAGAAAAAAATTGATCCTGACAGTGTTTTGTCAAGGTTGTTGGTAAAAGTCAGGTGCTTCTTAGAAATCAGTATTTTCAAATGAGTGGCTTAGGATTGTCTTTCATTTGTCTAGATTACCTGTTAATTTCTGTTTCAAGAAAGACCAAACAAAACAAAAAACAAAAATGCTCAGATTCAATATCTTTAGAAAGTTTCCTGACTGAAAAACAAGAAACCAGTTATGCTACTCTCAGCAGGATGATACCTACCATTTGTGCTGCCTGAGATAGTCATAGAGTTTGTCATTCCTCTAAACAATATTCCAAAACTGGATCACATTGACAAAATATAAGGAAAACTTACAATTCTTAGTGGTGTTTACCTGAAGACTGTCCCATCGATTAGCTGTAAAGGATCACATGACTGTCCAAGGACAATGCATACTAATTAGAGAAGAGGAAGGAAAGTTAACCCAACATGATGAATGATAAAATCACTTAATTATTCATATTTTTGAGAAGTAAGATTTTACATTCACTTACATGCTAATACCCTTGGGAAAGGTATGAATCCTCTTCTTCTCCTCCCAGCTATGGGTAAATAGCAGGACAGATCGTGTTCTATAGCCTTGGATGGCCACTGGTCTACCATAGAAAGAAATGGCAACCTACTGTGGGAAAAAATCTGCCTCATCAGTCATGTATCAAAAGATACATGATCACCTCTGCATGTATCACACATGGCACATAACTGGCTGAAGATTTTCTGAAACAGCATTTGGCAAACATGGATAAACATGCCTGCAATAAGACAAAGTGTCAAAAAGCAGTTTTTCCATGATATCACTCTTTTAGGTAAATTTACTCTTTGTCAATGTTTATTGTTTTAAAAAGTTATGATTAGAATTGGAATAAATACTAATCACAGAATGAAAGTGAATTTAACATTTTTTTTGTTCTTGAGAATTTACAACAAAAATAATAAACACTATTAGATTCTTTATTTACAAGAATAAACTTGTATTTACAACATCGTAAAAACTAATACAATTAGAACTAATTCAATGCAATATTTATCATTTACCAATTTATAAAGAAATAAATCTGAAAATAATTTTTTATTCATATGTTAACTATAAGGAAATCCTTATTATTTACCATTTTATAAAGTTTGAATCAGTTGGCAATTAGCCAATGTTTTGCCAACCATTCCAATAAACAAGATAATAGTGTAAATAAACAATCTAATAAATAACAATATAATAATGTTTAATATTTTTGTTATAAATTCTCAAGAACAAAATGAAAAATGTGTAAATTCACTTTCATCATATGTTGAGATTTTATTACAATTTTTATCATCACTTTTTAAAAGAAGAAGCATTGCCGAAGAGTGAAAGTAGTAAAAAAGCAGTGTCATGGGAAAAACTGTTCTTTTGACACTATGTCTTATTGCAGGTATGTTTGTCTATGCTTGCACAGCATTTAATGTCTACCTTGACCAAGGTTAAATAAAAGCTATTAGTGTATTTGTTCAAACATGATAAACAAAGAAGAGCGATACAAAGCTTGGGTTTTTACCACAGACTGTTTATTCTCTTTTCTATGGTGACTGAAGTGAGACAAAGTTCTCAATGTCTCTTGTGTATGTCTGTTTTCTTTTACTTAGTTCAGAAGTTAGAACAAGTAAGCATAAGCATACATGGTTGAATTCAAGTCAGCCATGCACAGAGTTGGCACAACCAAAGGAAAGTTTGTACTTATTTTATCATCAGGAGATTTAAACTATGGTAGGAAAATTTATTTTCCTGTTTGAATTTCCCTCATTATGGTCACTATTATATCCATGAAATAATAACACCGTATTTCACAGACGGAACAGAATGACTGAAAGGAAAAGGGATGACAAATATGCTTTGTTCTCAGAGAGACTTTAATATCACTAAAAAATACACAAAACTATATATACATATATACACATCCCATGCAAAGAATAATATATTATGTATATTTACATGGCAAAGCAGAGTGTAAGGAGAAACAAAAAGGAAGGATCTTACATATAATATGGAGATACTCCTGTACCTGGAGAAGCCATACTTAGGACTCCAGGTTCGTCTATATCCTAGGAGAGGACATATTCCATGAACAGGAAACAGTGAGTTTTGAGTTTTCCAAAATTGAGAACTGCGAGCTGGTGTTTCATTCTATATCTGGGAAAGATCTATTCCCAAAAAAGGAAATGACACCATGAACTTGTAAGCTGCAGGGGAGGCAGATTTAGGCACAGCATGGGCCATTTGGCTCTGGCTCAAAGAAAGCTACCTCACATGGTGACTACTGTGAAACAAACTGAATTTAACTGCTGCTTTTGTCACTGTATGGAGTGATGTCACTAAGTGGCCATCATATGATCCACATGACGTATCTCCACCAAAGGGAGTTAAGCACCATCTGTATCCCTACAATGGTTATGAGATGTCTGTTTTCTTTTCCTTGGTCCAGAAGTTAGGATAAGTCAGTATAAGCATTGTTACAATGGTTGTGTTCAAGTCAGCCTTGCACTAAGTTGGAACAACCAATGAGAAAATTTGAAAGACACATGTGAATGCCATGCATTGGAAAGAGATTTCAGTTGTCAGTGGACTGGGGAAACTAATGTTTCTCAGTGGGAACATAATTACCATATTGTGCTACATCTTGAAGCAAGAGGGAGAAAGAGAGTGAGTGAAGAAGTGTTTGCCATTTTATAGACTTCAACAGCACCACCTAATAGCATTTGACAAAACCAAACAGGGAGTGTCATCATATTTCTGATTCCTTTAATTTTACCATCATGGGAAAATATATTTCTTTTTCTTTTTTTTTTCTTTTTTATAATTCATTATTATTATTTTATTCATCAGTTTTATTTCATTTTCCCCACAGGTTTCCAGAAGTGATGTATTCCAAGAGATTACTTTAAGTTTACCAGTCACTGACTTACTTCAAAGATTGTTGCAAAAACAAACATATGAATTATTAAAAACTGTTGAAGAAAAATAAAAAAAATGAATCACTGCATTGTTCTTTTGCTTCTAAAATTAGCTCTTGTATACTTGAGTGAAAATACTGGACCAGGAAGAACACTGGATGGACAGTAATACGTCTGAAAGAATCAGTGCATGTGATAAGCTATGAGGACCTCATGACAGAGAGAGTTTGGGAAACACACACATACACACACACGTATTTTTTTTTTTTTTTTTTTTTTTTTAGTGAAATTGGAATAGATTTGGAATAGTGAAATTAAATCAGAGCATTTTGTTTACTGATGTGGAAATTTGATGTAGGTCAGAAGTTGTACCCATTGAATCTAGGTCATCAGAGGAAAATGGAAATGGTTGAAATAATTTTTATCAATTAAAAATTGAAATAGAGCTGAGTAAGCTAGAAGGACCTTTAGAATTCACATGATTTTGGTTGAAACAGCCATGTGTGAAGTAGGAGGGCCAAGGGTCGGTTTTGACTAGCCGGGTTTTTCTATATAAACACATAGTTATGCTGAAAAAGAGGCAAATAGGAGAAATTTCTTGAAGAGAGAATTGGCCCGGGCAAGTGTACAGATGAGCGAGTGTGCAGACGGAAGAGAGAGATGAGTGAGCATTGAAACAGAAGAGAGAGAGAGACGGAAGAGGCAGGCGGAAAAGAATTAGACTGGGCAAGAGTTGGGCTAGAGACAGTGGAGAGTCATTGGAGACTCAAGAAGGAGAGAAAGTGACATCAGAGATTAGAACGAAGCGTCTGCTAACATGTACTGTTGATATAAGTACCGCTGCTTCTGGTACCACGAATATTACTACTACTGTTACTTCTGCTAAGGAGGAATGCCACTATAAACTTTAAGCCGCACACAGAGATCTTATTCCCCCATCGCGAGAGTCGTATATCATTCTGAGATGATTTAACAACAAGTTAATCATAACACTCTCTCTCTGTCCAGAATCCAGTGTATGCATTTTTACGTCAATTACTTTTCTTTTCTGTAACCTGTTTCTTTTCTATACTATTCTTTTCTGCTATATAAAAACATTAACAATTCAATCATTGAATAGTTGTTTTCTGGCTTTCTGTAGATATTAATTTTTTTTTGCTGCATTCTAAATTTCTTAGCGCAGACTCTCCAGCCGTGTCTACATCTTCAGTCGACCGTGAGTGGATGAACATCATTTCTGCTTTCTGGATCAAACCAAACACAACGTGGGCAGGAAGCAGGATTAAACCAGTGGACCGGTCGATTAATCTATGGATGCTCAGGCCATTACCTCAAGTTCGGTTAGGATCGAGTAGACACCTCAACCCAGAGAGTAAGATGTCGGAGGTTGAGGGGCTGGGGCGAAAGTGTTAGACTCATTAGTAGGCCTAGCATAGAAATAAATGCAATATGGCAGCCACTAATAAAGAAAGATAGATAAATGACAGTAAGTTTTCAATATGACAATCAGCAGCACTAATCAGCAGGCAGGTTAGGTTTAAGGCTCCAAGTTCACCACAGTCTAGTGGATTAAAATACTGGTTCATGAATTTGGTGACATAGTAATTGTGAGTTCAATCTCTGGGCCGGGTAGTGAGTACTTGGATTCAGGGCAAACTGGTGAGCAATAACTGTGCAGTACTAAAAATAAGAACTAGATGAGATATCCCTAGACATGGGCAGTGGAACAAGAACAGTATACCCCCTGTAGATTAAATAAAGTGTTCAGTTCAGAATCCCCTGTAGGTTAACAGGATTGATATGCACCTGATGAAGGCTGGAAGGCATAATAGTTGAAATAAATGTAAACAATAGTCTAAATGTAAATAGCGTACATAAAAATTGTACATTTGAAAAAGTTGTTTGAATTTGATGGATTATAATTGTCATCTTAGCACATTCATTACTATTTGGGATATTTGAGCCCTTATATGAGGCCATCGATGTTTTTTAAACCTGAGATCAATGTGGAACTAGCCTAACTGGCTGGAGCATCTTTCTTTAGACCTTCTGGAACTTCATATGGCTGTAAAGGATGGTGGTGTATGGCACCACACTTAGACTTTTTGGACAATTTTTCTTTCAATCTCTACAAAAATATGTGGATTCCACTTACTACATGAAACATCAGACAACCAGTATTTTGAATTCGGCATACAACTCCTCATCCCATGCAAAATCCACTCTTGTAAACATTTACACTATTTACATTGTTCAGACTGTTGTCCTAATCTTCATTGCCATATTCACAACGTTTCAGCTGTTGTACACTTCAGCCTTCTTCAAGTGGTATTTGTTGGGATTTTTAACTGAACACTTAATGAAATTTTTTTTCATTGGATCAACATCAATCAAGAACAATAGAGTAGCCTGGATGCAGTAAGAGGGGTAATGACACAACATCGCTAGGTAAAGAGCTTTCTAGACTGAAGTCAATGGCCAGGTGCCTATGACCAAGATAAGCCATCAAATAGAAGGACATTAGCTGGTGTCATCTGCTGTGGCCAGGTATTGAACTGATAACCCTTTGGGTCAAATCAGTGGATTACTTCAACACTTTTATCCACAGAGCCATGTATCCTTAAACATTGGTTGAAGCAATCCAGTGACTTGATCCGAAGAGTTGTGAGTTCAATACCTGGCCTCAGTAGAGATGAACAAAAACTTGAAGAGTTGAGTTACTAAAGTGAAATAACTGAAACTGAGATATCCAGAAAAGGCATGGCATGGGGAACTAGAACATTCTACCTTGGTGGATGAAATAAAGGGTTCGGTTCAAAGTTCCAACATGAAGAAGGCTGGAGTGTAAAATGGCTGAAATGTTAGGAATATGGCATTGAAGATGAGGACAATAGTTCAAACAATGTAAATAGTTTAAATATTTTAAGTGGCCTACTTGTAGCATTAGAATCCTTAATTATCTTCCCAGTAGTAGTTCATGCACATATCAGAGGGTAAAAAAAATGTGTCACGTGACAGTCTGACTACAAATATAAAAAACAGATGTAAACCACCTCCTCAGTTGTTACCAATTTCTCAAAATGGCTGCATGTCTATACAAATCTTCCACTTGCCATTCAGGACATAACTGATACAATGCACAACGAAGTCAACTATTAAGTAAAACCTTAATTCATTTTTCTATGATAATTTGGTTTGCTGTTTGAACAAACTCTAGTTTCTATAAATATGTAAGTAAATTCTTTTCTCTCAGATTTATACACCTGTCCTTGTTTTTATTCACTTATATGTAAGTGTTACTATATTGCTGGTATAATAAGATACATTTATCTTCACCAGCCATCACAATAGAAACACTAGCTTAAGTTTTAAATTAAAATATTTGTTTACTCAAATTGTTTTCTGATTTGAGAAATTCATTAAACTTTACTCAGTAATAAAAGGATTTTTGCAGGGCGAAGAGAGAACTTCAAATTTCTTATCCTAAATACTATGAATGGCTTAAACAAAAAAAAAAACCCCAAAAACAGAGGAATCTTGTTTTGGTGTGAAACTTGAAAGAAATTTACATTTATTAAATGACATGAAAAACAATAATAGAATAGCATAGAATACAAAATTTACAAAAGAAGCTTGCACAAAATTTTCTTTTGTGTGCCAAATGCTTAGACAAGATAACAAGTTCTAATTACAATTTTATTGAATATTTTGTTGATAATTCAGAAGGATGGCTGGTCACAGGAGTCGCTGGGTTTCTATAGTTCACTTTTACAAACTGAGACTCAAAAATGAGATAAAACTTGCCTTTTTCATAAAAAGTTCAAAATCAGAGTTACTACCTCTAATTTTGTGACAAACTTACACAAATAACTTTAAATAATTGTATATCTCTCTAAATTTGTAGAATTTTTCCTTTCTGTATTTATTTCTTTTTCTTCTGTTACTTCCTTTTCTTTTACTTTCAGATCCTTTCTTTTTGTCATGTTTGTCTTTGATGGCAGCGGCTTTTAGTTTTCTTTTTGTTTAGATCCCAGAATCAGCCATCGTCTTTGTGAATGCCAGAACCCTTCAGCTTTCTTTTTGTACTTCTACTAAGTTCAGCTCCCAGCGACTTTTGCCTGTGAAAGCCAAATCCCTTCTGTCAAACAAACCAGACTTCTTAAATATCTACAAATTGGCTCCAAATTGAATCTAGATTTGAAAATTATATGGGTGTAAACTACTTTCTGAATTGGTTAAAAAATCACAAAATGTATCTTTTTAAACCACACCGTTTGTAAACTTTATTTTGACGGGTTTTCAGGCAAAAAGACTTGAGCTTCTTTTTGAAAACCAAATTTTATACATGTATCTTTTTAAAGCGTTGGACTTCATTTTTGTAGCTTTTTTACATCAATTTAAGCCTCACATATACAAAGTTTTATGCATCAAATTTTACTCAAGCCATTTTTTACTGTCTGGCTTCATTATAGCAGTTTTTTTATTTAAAGAATATGCATTAGTAACTTTTTTGTTAAATGTATTTTTAGACACTCCCTTCAAACCTAGTCTATTATATTATTTTTTAATTTATACCTTAATTATTTTTACATAATTTTACATTTCTTTTTTATCATGTAAATTCTTACAGTTGTTTTAAATTCTAGGATGTAACATAATTGATTTACAAAGCTTTATAATCATTACATTTTCATAAAAGTTTTTATAGTGAGTTTTTGAAAATTATTTCTAAGTAAAAAGTTATGATTTGAAAATGATGTACTTCATCTAATGTTTTTTTTTAATTAGAATACTAACTGAAAAATAATAATTATAAATTTTTATGCTACATTAAACTTATCAATTAATATTGATTTTTTATATGATATCCCATCAAATTGTTGAATCACCCACTAGAGCTGAGATTTTGTAATCAACAGAAATTAATGTAGTAAAATATTAACTTTTCCTTTGACAGAAAACTTTCTATCCACAACATTTAAAGAAAAGAAAGTTTTTTTGAAAATAATTATTTGAGTTTGAAATTCTATCTGATTAAAAATTAATTTCAATATAATTAAAAAAATAATAATAAATTTCTTTTATTGATTTAAAGAGAAAATTGTTAAGATAGATCATAAATTATAAATAATAAGTTTTTGTAATTATCTCACAACTCTAATAAGTCGAGTGTTTGATAAGTTAAATTAATTTTTCTGGCAGTTAGTGCTTTCAAAGAAAATCTTTTGGCGTAAGTTAACGCCATTGTCTCTTGAAAGCGATCTTCGTTCCGGGGAAGTTTATTCGTCATTTTCCGTCTGTTTCCGTCAGTCAGTTTTATAGTGTCACAATGGCGGATCAAAGCAAGTTATTTCTTCTGAAATTGTTGGAAATACCAGAAAATAAAGTCTGTGCCGACTGTGAAAGCAAAGGTAAAGTATATATATTTATATAATGTCGTGATCATGAACTTAGATTTGACCGAATCTGTAGAGGAAAGTTTTAAAATATTTTTTTCTTTTATTATTTTTGTAATATTTGTCTGTCTGCTAGTAGTCGTGTGTAGTGTACAAAAAAAAAAAAATTAAAAATAGAGAAAAGAACTTTCTCAGAAATCCTCATTAAATTTAATTCTAGAAAATGAAATTGGTTTTCGTTATGGAAATATTTATTATTTATAATCCATGGTTTTGTTAATCGTTTTAAACGAATTCTGTTAAGGTTTTTGATTTCTCCAGCAGTCGTGTCGTTTCTTGGGATTTGATTTCTATGAATAATCATGCTTTTTAAAAATGCTAAATCTATTTTCTTTTAAGTTTAAAGATTTGAAAAAGATTTTTTGTTAGTTTTATTAACATAAAAATATTTCCTTCGGTCAAAATAACTGCTTTATAATGTCAAACATGACGAAAATAGCCGTATAGAAAATGCAAAGAAGAAAAATCTCATTCATTTTTAAGGGGCGGAACATTGAAATTTTGGGGAAGGTTATCCTTTTTAAAATCATAAGTCCATTATTTCTAACCGTTTCTAACCACGATTAAAAAACAATTGACATTGAGAATTTTCTAATTAAAAGAATCATTAATTTAACTTGACTATCATGGATTTTTTTCTAAGAAAGAATAAAAAAAATATCAATGTTGTCAAATTGTATTGAACTGTTAATGTTCAATATGTCATGATAAGGTGAATAATTTTGGAAGGTTGATCTTTTACTTTTAATAAATTTCAGTCTTTTGGGTTTATTTATTTGTATATTACTAAAAAGAACAATACTGTAGCTTCGTTTTCGTAAAATATAATTATTTTTCTTGCATAAGAAAAGACCTGTACATACATAAATTAACTACAAGTACAAAAATGCATGTTATTATTATTAGAAAACATTTCTTAATGTTATTTTTTTTACTTATTCTTATTCACATGTCCTAACCTGCAAATATTTTAAAGCTGAAATGGAAATAAGTTAAAAATTGGATATTAATTAGTTTATATTTTTAATTAAATGTTCAGATAAGGAAAGGAAAAAGCAAAATAATAACAAATAAATAACTGAACACTTGGTAAGGAAGAATCTTGCTTGACTAAAAAAACAAAAAAAAAAATACTTTACTTTATCTGTTTAAAATAAATTTATTTAAATAACAATGTTTTTAAAAATAATTACAATTAATTACGATTTATTTTTTATTTAACGTGAAAACTGAAATAAAATTAATTTTAAACCAGAATCTGAATACAGCATGAATAACCAGTTGAGAATAAATATATTTTTGAATGTTAAAATTAGCGTTTCAAAACAATTCCTGCATACCAAACACTGATTTACCTCCCTTATATTCCCTTTAAAGTTTTGAACTAACCTCATAATCTGATCCCTTCTTTTTTTGCATTTGAAAAGTCATAAAAATCCGAAATAAAACAAAAAATATGACCCGAAATGAAATAATAATTTATTTCGCGAATTTTATCTCTAAGTAAAAACTGAAATTTAAATTTAATCTCCACGAAGAAAAATAATCACGGATTTTCAATTTATTTACAATAAGTGAAAAAGGAAGATTTTGTTTTATTTCACTCGGATGCATGCCATTTCAAATCCTAAAAATAGGGCTCAAAATATGAGGCTGGTTTAAAAAAATATTGTAAGGAAAATGTAAGAAGGAGGCAAATCATTTATGAATTATAAATGCTATGCAGAAATTTAAGGGCAATATGAAAGAGTCAGTATGCAGAAATCATTTGAAACGCTAAACTTAACAAAAACAACATTTTTGTGTGTGTTTAATTTTTGTAGCTTAAAAAAAATAGAAATGTTTTATTACCCTCTCACTTTGCCCCCCCCCCAAGAAAAAAGAAGAAAAATGGCAAGCCGCAATGCTTTCTTCTCAAAACTCAGAAATCTGCAGCACACATGTTAAGAAATGCTGTTTTGTCATTCCACATCGATGACTATGTAAAAAAAAAAAAAAAAAAATACAAAAGAGAAGAATGCCTATTGGATTCCATTGGTTGGTGATGCCGATATCGTCACTGAACAAATTTATTTGATTTTTAAATTAATTTTATTAAAGAAAAAAAAGTGCTTGAATTAATAATTCCTCATTAAGTTGTCTGTCTGTTGCGACAAACATATGAGTCATGTTATTGTACAGGAACTTCAACATACTTAAAGTCAAAGTGTCATAAAGTTTTTTTTATCTGTCATCATAGTGTTGTATATATTTCTATTTTAATTCCTTGTCCCAATTTATATAATAACCACCCACCCTGCTTCCCCAGAAGCCACGCGAGTGTGAAACAGCATAAGGGGATGTTACTCTAACGTTTAACAGTCAGCCTTCAACGAAGTCACATGCTCTGGTCATACTACTGGAGCTATTAAACCTCATTGGGGCCAAAAGCAGAATACATTATTGGCGGATTATTAAATTAGATGCATCATTTTTTAATTAAATAAAATGGCAGGAAACGTAATAATTATCTTATGTAATAACTCGACCATTTATTTTTTTTTTTTTTAGTTGTCATCGTTTTGCTTAGAATGACACACGTGTGAATTTTCCAACTGTTTTTTTTTTTCCTGCACAATTCTTAATTCTCTTTTTCGTTTCTTTAATCTTGCTAATGCAATATTTTGGGCAATCCATTCAACGGTCTTCCCCAGGCATACTTCTCGTATGGAAAGAGATCTCTTCTAGCAGTGTAAAGCAAAAAAAAAAAAAAAAAAATTTTCATTTATTCTTTATTTTGTTGCTTTATTTTTAATCATACTGTAAAGAAGAAATATAACCATTTTCAAAAAGTTTTTAAAAAAAAAATAGTAATGATTAGTAATGATAAAACGGTGTGGACCTTGTCCCAATGGTAAAATCTTCAATTTGCTGAATAGTTTGGTTAAAAAGTATACATAGATCATTACTGGGATATTTTAACATATTAACACTGTCATGGCTTTTTATGCTTACCAAACATAGATTAGTTTTGGCGCAAGGCCTCAAGTATATTATTTGCCTCCCTTCAAGGGCAAATTGAATACAAGGTTAGATTTAATGGTGAGAGGGGATATATGTGTATGTGTTGGTAAAGATTGTTTAGTTTCCTCAATCTTACCTTTTGGCATTGCTACAAACATCAGGAAATGCCTTTTATCCTACAACTTTGAGTGTAATAGGTAAAGCCAACAGTAATGAATCCCATAATTTGTGATGATAAAAATATGGGATACCCAATGAAGATTGAGCTAATTAAGTTATTTTCCAAGCGTAGCTTAGATGTGGCACAAGGCCGAAAGTAGGAGGCACCTAGTGAGGATCGAACTCGCTACTCAGTCGTAATTGATCTAACAAGACAAGCTTGCTAACCATTACACCACCTCAAGGCAGCCATAGTGATTTTTCAAGTGTAGCTTAGATGTGGCACAGGGCTGAAAGTAGGGTGCACACAGTGAGAATCGAACTCACTACTCGGTTGTAATTGTTCTAGTGAAACAAGCTTGCTAACCATTACACCGCCTTAAGAATATATTCAGCTAATTAATGGAAAACTAGCCTAACTTATTAATTTGATAACGAGGCAATCATTTTAAGGTTCTATGTATGTATCAATAGTTATATTGTTAAGAATGGTATTGTATAATTGAATTGGATAAATCAATCAACAACATTTCAGATGTCATTATTTATGAGAAGGTATCTTTGTCAAAAAGTTAAATACATAAGTAAATACATTTAGTGATTTAGAGAAATTCATAAATAGGGTTTGATTGATTAATTTTGTTTTTTAAAACTTATCAGTTCTTTGCAAGTTATTTAAAGCCAGAAAATATTTTTTAATTGTAAGAATTTTGGGTATATAATAATGTATGATTTACTATTGCAAGTCCTACTAATTAACCTATGGATAGATATGGGAAGAAGAAGAGGTGGATCATACATTTCCCAAGGGTATTTACACATAAGTGAATATAATAAACTTAAATGGAATTGGTAACTTGGTTCTCTGATTTCCAATTCCAAATTGCTATCCATTACATCACCTGCACATCCATGCTTATGGCTCCTGGCATTCTCAAACATTCACCCATCGAGTGACTGACCAGGTTCGATGTTGTTTAACTTTGGCAATTGTATGAAAACCAGTGTTTCAACATATGACCATAAGCCTGAATAAATAGGAGGAAAAATATAAATAACTTTGAAAGATTGGTTTCAGTTTTTGTAAGGAATACATCCAGAAAATGAAAAAAAAATTCATACAAATGTTTCCATTGCTCTCATAATAGAGGCTGCTTGCTACCTGAATTATGGATTTATTTTATTTCATTGATACTTGAAAATAATTGTAATTGTCTTTCACATGAAGTGGTTAATTCTGAAAATAGTGACTTACAGTTGTATCTAAGATTTTAAAGTTCTAACAGAGGTCTGATTATTTCTTGTCAGTTCATTATAAATGTAATGTTTTAAATTAATTGATATAATTAACCAAAATTAGTCTGAAGATTAAGTTCTCTAAAAGCTTCACTGGCTTTTTGTAGACATTAATTATTTATTCTCTTAAAGAATACTGGACATGATGAATGACATTAATTATATATTATTGCAACAGACTGCAAATTTTGTTAAATTTACCATTTATAATAGAGGCAAACAGAATGTTCATGTTTAGTTTGTATATTTTTGATGTTTCTAAAAAATGATACTTGTATATATTCATTAAATAATAGCTAGCCACTCGTATTCAAGGATACCCGTCTACTGGGGCGGCTAGTCAATCCCTATTGCAAATACTCGCTCAGGCACATTTGAGTTTGCTCAACACCCACAGAACCCACCTGTGGTTTGTACTATGACTATGCTGAGCAGACTTTGGTTACAGTTTCTGGGAGAGAGTGTGTTATCTAGTGTGATCAACAATTTGAACAAGG